TAAGTCCCCAGGCATATTGGTCAGAGCGGTTGCTTTAAAAGATAGCTTCATCCCTTTCTGCTGGGCCCTGAGGCCTTAAGATCCCTCTGAGTCCAGCACCTTTCCCATTCCCATAGTGCCAGTCAAGAAGCCAAGCCCCAGAAGAACTCGAAGGGCGTTTCCAGCCCCAGGCTGGTCCAGGGAGCACTATGCTGGGAGGCTGCGTGCACCTGTCCACTTCGGGATACTCCTTTCTGTGCCTGAGACACAGGGTAGCTGGGTGGGAACCATGCTGTAGAGGTTTGCCCAGAATTCAAACCCAGAGAATCCACTGGCGACTCAGAAGGAAAGGGGAAGGATCTGCCTGCCAGTGTTAGCCGGGCTCTGGTCTGAGCCTCACACTCCTTGGGGAAGCCTCGGAGGAGCAGCGTTGTCTCTGCTGTGATACTCACAGAACGCTTGTCCTCAGGCTTCTCCCCTGCCCTTTCCTTGGGGTTGTGGTAGATATGCAAAGCAGTTTATTACCACCCTTCTCCTGTCATTTGTTGCTGCCCCATGGCAATGCCCTGGGGCTCAGTCTGCTGAGTAGGAGGTGGGCTCAGCACTGAGTCTTGGGGAACCAATGGACAGTAAGGCAGAGCTGTGGGCCACTAGCTACCCGCTCAGTGTGTGGCTTCCTGAGTCTACATCTGCGCAGTTCTTTTCTCTATGCCTTGGCATGAGGACCCTCAGACCTGGCTGTCTAATAGTATCAGTGGGGGAACATTTATTTGTTGGTTTGTTTATACATGTGTTATATACATATAATATGCATGCATGCATGTATGTATGTATGTTTTGGTGTCCAGGCCTTGCACATGCTAACCTAGTGCTCTACCACTAAGACACATCCTGGCCCCTGTTTTATTTTTCATGACAAGGACTCCCTGCTCCTATTCCTGTGTCTGCAGGGGCTTGGAGGTGGTTCTAGAATCTGCAGTTTCAGGATGCTTTGTTGTCCTATGGACAGACTGACTTAGAGAACCCCTCTTTGGAGCTCCTTCCCCACTGCCTTCTCATTTCCTGAAGAACCTCGACATCTTCTTGTCCCTTGTCTGTCACATATGCATTCACTCCCCTCCCTGGAAACTTACCCTTCGAAACAAGCCTACCCCTCTTCCTTCTCTCACTCAGAGGGGGTGGCCTCCCGCATCCTGGAAGCCCCACTCCCTCCTGCCTCAGACCTGGTGTTCTGCTTTCAGCCCCGTCTCTCTCCCAACCCCTGCCCAGGCCTCTGATTGTGGTGACACTGCGTTCACTGTTGCTGAGGTGGCCTCCCCCATGTCCTGTTCCCATAGCCCCGACTTTCTCCTTAGGCACCCTGCTAGCCTTTCTGAGCTGTCCTCCTCTTTTTCCTTTGGTTTCCTCTTTCTGCTCTAACCTCCAACACCTTGATGTCCCCAGAATCTTTCCTTATAAAATGTACCCCCTCTTGGGGTGACCTCATTTACTTCCAGGTGACTTCCAAGGCCAGAAATCAACCTTCCCACACCCCAGGACCCCCCCCCCCGATGCTGCCCCCCTGGAGTTCCTACCTCAGTGTGGGAAGGCGGAAATTCGGACCCATTTGGTGTTCCTCCCTCACCCTGGTGTCCAGTAGGCCGCCCACCTGGGGCCCCGCCCAACACCTGGCCTGCTTGGCACCAGCATCCCCACCTGGTCTCTGCTTCTCTCCTGACCTGGCCTTTCCTCTCTGGCCCTCTTGCTTGGGTCATAGGGTCTGCTCTGAAATTCAAACCAACCTTAAACCCCTGACTGATCCCTTCTTGGAGCTCCTGGTTGGTCCCTAGAGCCCCTCCCTGATCTGACCCCCAACTACCCAGTCTCATTTTCTTAATCTATGAAGTTTTCCCTGACATCCCCTCGGAGCCAGCCTCGGTGTCCACCCTGCCCCTGCACGTGCTCCACGCCCAGTTCCCTGCCCTCTCATCAACATCTGGGACCCTGCCTGCCCTCCCATGGAGTCCTTCCTGCTGTGGCCAAGAGTTCGCCACCGGGACGCTGTGGCCCACTGTCCACCAGACAGGAACGTTCAGGTGGCTGGGCCACGAGCCCCTCACCTGCTCCCTTCCCTGTTCCCAGGACCTAGCACTGCCATCTGGGTGGCACTCATGGAACAAATTAGAACTGACACATGTGGTTGGGTAGAGATCATTATTTAACAGGTAAGACTCATTTTAAACAATTAACACCTCTTGTATGAAAATGTGCTGATTTACTGCTGAAGAGAATAAACCATGTTTTTATTTTATCAATCCATGCAGACAACCATTACCTTCCATGGTGCATATGACTCCATATGGCAAAAGGGACCGCGGCCACTGTCTCCTAATCTAAATCACTGAAATCTAAACTAACACAACCACAGATAACAAGTTCACCCAGTGTGTCAGTCAGTATGGGTTTATACTTTGTACCTGTCTTAGAGTTGTCATGACTCTGCCAACATAGGTAAATGGAGGTTAGTGGCTAAAGGCCCCCCCATGGTACCATGCTAAACCATTTCCTTTTTGAAATGAATGCAGCCAGCTCATCTTTCCCCCATGTGACTTGGAGCCACATCACTCACTACATGGGTCCTGCCATCCACAACGCAGCCCTGCTGACTCCAAGCAGGCTGGCTTTGGGTGACAGTCCATCTGTTTTTTTAAAATGTATTTGGTACAGGGTCTACAGGGTGTTCAGGGTCTCACTACACAGAGATCTGGACTCGTAGGGATCCTCCTGTTTTCAGCCTCCCAAAGTGCTGGGATTACAGGCATGCACCACCATGCCCAGTCTCAATCAGTGTTTCAGCGCACCCCGGAGGCAGGGCCAGCACGGCACACTGGGGATCAAAGTCTGGCCACTGAGCTCTGCCTAAGCAGACGCTTTAGTCTGCTGGGCTATCTGGCTGACCCTGAGAGTCCATCTTTGAGAAGATGTGGACAGATGGCTTTCTCAAGCGTAGAGCCTCTGAGCTCCTGGACGGCTTCTGCATGCTCAGATCTTTCACACACGTACCATACACAAGAGCAAAGCTACAGGCCATACTACGATATAGCTGGTCTCAACCCAAAAGAGCCTCTCTGATAGGGTTATACCACATGGAAGAGCATTGTTCCTGTTTCCAGGCAAGACACAGCTGCAGAAAGATAGGTCACTGGAGCCCAGCCAGAGCCACCCATGACAGTACTATCTGTCTTGGGAGTCTTCAGGAATGACCCTACTTGGGGCAGGACAAGGTGGAATAGTTCAAGGATATTTGAAACCATTAAGGATGACGTTTCCCCTTATTTGGTAATGCAAGGACGAAGCACCCTAGACTGGAAAGAATTCAGGCTTCAAGTCTAAACAGATGGAGTTTCAATCTGGGTTCTGTGATAATGTGGGCAATGACTGTTTAGTCTCCCTGAGCCTTGGTGTCCCTGTCTGTGAAATGGGAAGAATGACAGCCACCTCCAGTCATTTTAAGAAGGAAAGGCAATGTAGGTAGAGGGGGCAGCCTGTGCCCAGCGCACTGCAAGTGTGTGCTAAATGGAACATCATCACTCACATACTCTTGTTCCTCTCCTACCACTTCTTCTACTTCTGCAGGGTTCTTTTTTGTAATGGTGTTAGCTCATGCCCATCAGCCATCCCATGTGTGTGACATGCCAAGAGGACAAAAGGTGGTGGCCATGCTTCTTGATGGCCTCTGGTCCTCTGTATCCTCCTGTGTCCACCACCAAAGCCCAAGTCTAGGTCCCTGTCATTGCTCGGCTGCTGCTCCTCCTCTCTATTTGTCTTTCCCATCTCAGACAATCTAAATCCACCAACATCCTACGGACAGATTAATTTTCTTAAATTGCTTAATTTTAATTCATTATTTTTCTTAAATTAGCTATTTTCCCTGCATCAGTTTCCTGCTCAGAACTCTCTGTGCTGGGCCCATTTCCTGTAGGCTCAGGCAGGCATTTGCAGCCCTCCACAAAGGGCTCAGTCACTCTCTTGCTCTGTTTCCATTGATTCCTCCCTCACCAGTGCTGCCCTGCAGTGCCCCCTCCTTCGGTGACTGTCACCTCTGCCTTGACAAGCTGCACATACATTCATCCTACACTCCTCTGCCAAGTGAGCAGGAGGAGGAGCTTCCCCACTACACCAGAACCCTGGGGAAGCTTTACAGGGGACTCCTCAGCCTCATCCCCAGGAAGGATGGTCCAGGAGCCTCCGTGCATTTTGTGAGGCCCCCTTAGGGCTGCCAGCTCCATGCTGGAGCACAGGCTTCCCTGGTGACTGGACTGCCCTGGAACCCACAGCTGCACACTCAGTGAGCTTCACAATTCCTAGGGCCTGATGTGTGTATGAGGGAAGAGGAGGCAGCGGCACAGAGAGGGTGCCTGCCTCTAAGGATGGAGGTAGAGACATGGACAAGGACTGTAGGTGCCTCAGAAAGGCACAGGCAAGGAAAGGGTTCATACCCACAGCCTCTGGCAGGATCCCCCATTGGCTGTGTTATGGACTTTTCTGACTCTTAGGGCTGTAAGAATAAAGGTGTGTGGCTTAAGCCACTATATTTGGGGTGCCTTGTTCCAGCAGCCACTGGAAGCTGATACAGAAAGGGACAATCTGCTGCCTTCCAATGTGGCCTCAGGGACCACTCAGTGAGCACAGTACAGGAATGAGGACAAGAGAGGAAAGATGGGCCAGCCTTACATTGCTTGAGATCTGGAAGATGCCCTGCCATTCCTTCCCCCAGGACTGCTTACCCTATGCCTTCTGTGTCCCCAAAGGCTACAGGGCTGTATAGAGCCTTGCCTCCTCCATGTGGCCAATGGCCCTCTTTAGGGTGGAGATGACAAGGCCCAGATCAACCTCTGGGCCAGGAGTGCTGCTCCGAGGGAATGTGGGAATTTCTGCTCTTCAAACTCTTGGGGGATGGGCAGCTGGCCCAGGGCCAGCAGGAGGTGAGTAGACCCCCTCATCACCTGTGTTTTTGAGGCTAATGCCCTGCTCTCTCCCAGGGACCTTCGTCTCAGCCTTCACTGTGCTGTGTGGAGCCCGCACAGACCTCCCGGACAGACATGTGTGCTGCGTCTTCTGGCTGAACATTGCAGCAGCCCTCATCCAGATCCTCACAGCCATCGTCATGGTGGGCTGGATCATGAGCATCTTCTGGGGCATGGACATGGTCATCCTTGCCAGTGAGTAGCGCCAGCACTGCCCCTGTTGGTGGGGTGCAAGTTCTGGCAGGGTGTGAGGGTTGGCGCAGGGGCTGAAGGTCAGGCTAGATGCAGAGGCCTCTGTGGCTGGCCAAGGGCCTGTGCATCCCAAGGGCTCACCTGTGCTTTCCTCTCCGTATCTGACCCAGATGCTGCAGGGAATTCTGAGAGTGTGGCAGACCAAATGTCCTTGTAGAACCCTGAGTCAAAGGCATGAGAGAGGGAGGAAGCCCCTGTCCAGCTGAGCCACGTAGTCACTTTGTTTGTCAAGGAAACAGCCCCAACTCCAAGGCTGGTTCCCCTGGGGGCAGCACGGAGGAGCGCAGCTTCTGCACCACTGTGCTGGCTCCATCCTGCAGTTTCCAGGTAGGACAAGGCCACATGGAAGCCTTGCACACAGGGAACCATAGAGCTGTTTTTTACAGCTACAGCCATGTGATTTCTCCTCTGGTTAATCTAAGTTTTTCACTCCCTGGTGCTAAAGCCTCACTAGTCCTCATTTGTTCTGAGTGAATCTTCATTGTCTTGCAGTGTAAATTTGATTCAGATGGAGACCTGTTCTGTAGAAGGCATAAAGTTGCAAAAGGAGACTTACTAATGGCTTGATTGTTGTTTTTAAAATATCCAGCAGTCTGGAATCAGGCACCAGCTGTCTTAAGCAGCTGTGCAGACAGGTCTCCCTGTATGTACTCCATGCATGTTCCCACCCCACTGGGATGCAGGGGTGAAAACCAGGCCACATCTCAGGCACTTTGCCCTTCACCCTACCCTGCTCCACATTCTCCACTGGACCTTACACCCAGCAGGCCATTCACTAAAGGGATTGCCACAACTGAAGAAAGGCCATGCCAGGTAAGGGCAGTAGAGACAGGAGGAGAGGCCCAGCATTCAAGGGTTCTAGAATGATCTAGCATGATCCACGCCAACTCAGCCTACACTGGGATTCTGTGAAGGGTGCACACATGCTGGGTCCCGGGTCAGAAACTAATGAAGAACATGCAGAACCAGAGCCTGAACAAGAGTCAGCACTGCTGGTAGACTGGTCAGAATGGCCGCCCAGAAGCAGAGCCTCCTGAGCCGAGGTCAGGGAGGACACAGGCTTAGAGTTCGAGGGACCCAGGCAGATATTGTGCAGCCAAAGTCTGGCAGGAGTGGGAGGAAGAACACAGCCTGGCCAGTGTGCAAGGAGGCATGAGCTGAAGAGCAGTGATGCAACTTCCTTCCTTCTAGGAAGGGCTTTCCTGGGACCAGGGCTGCCTCTCAGGAAGGGAGCTGGGATACCCACCTGGCAGAGCAGGCAGAGACCAAGACGTGCCTGCAAGTCCTCTCATGTTAACTTGCCTATGCTCAAGGGCCATTTCATTTTGAAAAGGGGTATAGAACACTGCTGGTAGCAAAACAGGCCAAAAATTTCCCAGAGGGAACTAGGGTACTTCCTAGAGGCCTTTGGGATGGTCTTTCGCCCCCATCCTGTTCCCAGCTGAACCACAGCAGTGTATCTGCCTTTGGAAGGCCCTGTCTTTAGATTCTGTGAGCCCCTCTGACTGGTTCATCTGTTCATCAAATTCAGAGTCTGGCCAGGTAGGGGGCTTTAGTGTATTAGCTTTCGATTATGGTAACATGTGCTAAAGTTGGCTCACAGTTTTGGAAGGTTCAGTCGAAGATTGGCTGGTCTTGTTGCTTTGGGCTTGTGGCAAGGCAGAACACCATGGGGAGTACGTGGCAGAACAAAAACCCACTTACTTCTTGGCTAGGAGCCAAAGGGAGAGAGGAAGACACTAAGGTCCCATAGTCCCTTAAGGACATGTACCCAATAATCACGATGACCTCCACTAGACTGCCACTTCCCCATACCACCACCCTGTGACAAGCCTATAATCTGTGGATCTTCAGGGACATTCAGGATCCAAAGCACAGGTGTTAGGAAGCTTTTTTTTTTTTTTTTTTTTTTTTCAGAACCAGGGATTGAACTCAGGCCCTTGCACTTGCCAGGGAAGTGCTTATTCCACTGAGCCATCTCCCTGGCCCCAAGGAAGCTTTGCAGGAAACTGGAATAGGCCTGGGTCATAGCATAGGTCTCATTGGAGGTGTGTGGATGCTGAGTTGGCCTCCAGAGCTTTCTGATATCCAGTGTGCCTCAGCTTACTGTGAGGTTGTGTCCCAAGAAACCATCACCAGTGGAAACTAATGTGTCACCAATGCACCTAATACTTCACTAAATCCATGGGAAACTCAAAATCCGAGTTGAGTCGTCATAAATCAGGGACCATCTATTCTTGTCTTTGGTCACCCTTAATCCCCAGGAACCAAAAGGTCCAAATCTTCATGATAATTTGAAGAGGCCCCTTCTCAGCCCTGGAGGCAATGAGACCCCAGAAAATGGGAATGAGTCAGCCCCTTACCTTTCATCATCCAGGCTGCTGACCTGGCTAGCAACTCACTCTCTGGTGGGTTTTGGGGCCTACAAGGCCCCAGGATGAACAACTGCAGGACTATCCTTCCTAGCCCAGCTGCTCTGTACTGAGCCCCCTGATCTCTTCTTGGGACTGGAGTCAGCTCTTTGGGGTTGTATATATACTGATTCTGGGCATGCTATCTCTATACTGAACTTCTGAGAATGATTTTTGATGAGTCACCCAAGAAAGGCAGCCACATCCTGCTGTTACCCACTTTCCTGAACAGAATCATCGCCCATCTGAACAGGGGGCTTTTGCCTTTGTCCTCAAAATTGCTCCCACCCTCATGTAATGAGTGCTTGCCCCTGTGGGACACAGTGTGTGTCCAGGGTAGCCCTGCGAAGGGAATGACCACAACTTACTCTGTCCTGGTAGAGAATGGCTAAGGGGCAGCTCTTGCTGGCTCACTCAGCCCCTTCTCATGAAAGTAAAGGAAACTTTTCCATTGTAATGGTACAAGGTGATCTTTCTTCTGGTGCTACCCAGGATGTTGTCCAAAAATACAGCACCAACAAAAACTACAAGGGGGAAGCAGAGGAAAAAAGAAGGAAGCATAAATTAAGGCCCAAAACTTACAAGCGTGCTACTCTAGTTACATTGCTAATGACAAATGACCAACAACAGCCCGACTCAGTTGAGTCTGAGTAAATATTTGGCAGGTCTAAGGTGGGCACTTCCTGCTTCCACTCCCATGCAGACACTGCTAATCCATCAGGACACTCGCTGAGGGACACTTTCTCAATTCCTCAGCACCGGCCTTCAAGCAGGCACATCTAATTGATCCCAGACATCTGTGCACACATTGCCATCCTGGAGCCAGGATCTTCTGGAAAGCACTAGGCTTGTACATGTGGCTGCTGTCCATAGAAACTGCTCACTCAGCAGCCCGGGCAGCACAGGCCTGGGCCCCGGAAGACCACTTCTGCATCCTGAGCATGTCCTGTCCCTCCCAAGATCTTTGTAGAATTCATCTCAGGCCAGCGTGGGCTGGGGCTGGGAAGAGGAGGGCAGGAGGTGAGCAGCGAGGTAGGTGTGGCTGAGATGTGGGGGCCTGGGGGGCACCAGCCAGAGCTTCTGGTCAATATCAAGGGCAGGGTGCCCCACCCTAGCCATGCCACACACCCATCTGCTGAGCACCTAGTTGCTGTGAGGACAGGGCTCCTGGTGTCCCAGAAGCCACCAGAATGGCCATGACCTGCCACAGGCGCCCCCTCATTTCAGATCACAGGCAGTCCTGTGGCTTCTGTTTTCATACTTTGTTTTCTCTTTCCCTTTGCTCCTCCCCTGCTGCCTGGCATCTGTGTTGCTGCAGTTTCCCAAGGTGAGTCTGGTGATTGTCTGGTGACAGTCTTGTGCTGAGGCTGCCTGGCCCCTCACTCCCATCCACACGCAGTCTTACTCCTACACACACACCCTGACCTCTGTCTGGCAATGGGCTTGTATTTCTAGCTTTTAGTTTTGGAAAATGTTTAAACATAGAGGGAAGGAGAGAACAATGCAAAACAAGTCGCTTAGTGTCCATGCCGGCTCCCTGATCTCAGCCACTCTTGTTTTGCTGACTCCCCCTTTCCTCCCCACCCGTGAGCTGGGTTATCAGCACCCATGCTCGCTGAGTGATAGGCCATCCAGAGGGGAAGAGCCAGTTCAGTCCAGGAAGCACCTTCTCAGGCCAGGTTTGCTGGGCTTTGGCAGCAGGGATCCGAAGAGTCCGCTCCTGAAACCTTGACTGTGCGATTTCACCTAAATCAGTTAGCAACAATTCCTTCCTAACAACTGTATTAAAACCTTCCTAAAGGGCCTGAGGATGTCACACAGTGATAGAACAGTTATTTAGCACACTTGAGGCCCTAGGTTTGATCTCTGGCATAAAATAATAATAATAATTTTCAAAAAATGTTTGGAAAGCTCATGCTTATCAGCAATGTTTTCAGGGCTCAGAGTACTCCTGCCCCTTTCCTTGTCTCAGCCTTCCAGCCAGTGGCCTCCTTCTATGTGCTTCCTCCTGCCTTTCTCCCCCTCCCCACCTGTGCTCATGCACAGCAGTTGGGGACCCTCCCAGTACTTTCTCCCCAAGCTCCACATTCCAACATCACACCAGACCAGTGCAGGGGACACTTTCTGGTGTGGACTCAGGAGTGTGTTGCTAGCATTCCAGGCTCCACCCTAAGTATTGCTTCATACATTCTCAATGAACCCCAAAGTAGCCCACAATTCTTGATTCATTAACTTTGCATCCCATTAAAAAGTCAAAGCCCTTAGAAGAGGTCATGCCCTGTTTCAGCAGTCATATATGCTGGAGTATGAATAAGTTCTCAAGAGCATATTCTAATCTGGAGGCACCTCCTTGAGAAATCGCAAAGGATGCAAATGTCTGATCATTTTCTTCTTCCTCTTCCTCACAGGGTACAAGGAGCAGGGCATCCCCCAGCAGCTGTGAGCCCATGAGACCTGCCTGGGAGCCCAGAGTGATCCTAAGGAGGTGTCAGAAGGCGGCTCTCAGCCCAAGGACCTTTCTATGCTCTCTTCTGCTGTGTTCTGCATTTGGGGTGGAAAGGGGTATTTTAAACAATATTTATTTTGAAAATGCAACTGCTTTGCCCAGCAAGCTCTGAGGGCTGCCAGTTCTCCCTCCTGCTTGGGAAAGCTGTGTAGGTATGGAGGAGCTAGGCATGTGGGCACAGAGACAGGCTGAGGTGCTCGGCAGGCTTGTCCTCACCTGGCAGAGCCAACTGCCCTCTGTAGAGCACCCAGAACTTCTGGGCAGGGCCTCTGTGGGCCTGAGAGCACTTCCCCTGGCCTCTATGCCTCACCTGGTGCCCTTCATATTCATTTTGTGGCCTCCCAGGGGCAGGGTGAGAGTGAAGATGGCCAGATTCCTGCCCACTGAGGACAAGGCCCGAGCCCCCAGCTGGCCCAGTGTTGTGTCTGGCTGTACCCCAGCCTGCTTGCTGCTGAGAGGTGGAGCTGAATGGTTCTCAGCTTGGTTTCTCTTGGCAAGGGGACAATGACTCTGGCCCTTGGGCACAATGGCCAGAGTTGCCATATGTTTAAGCCCAGATGCACCAGACTGAGGAATGTGTGGGTTCAGTGGGTGACCTTCTTTAGACTACTCAGTACCACTCCTAGACTTATGGCTTTTTCTGAAAACCTTGTAGACACAAGTCTCTGGATACAGAACTTTCAGATCTGAGAAAGATGATGCGATCCCTTTCCATGCATTTCTGGGTAGCCTCCTAGTGGTCAGGCCACCCTGCACACCAGCAGGTGAACGAACACTTCTGCCAAGAGATATGCGATGCGTCCAGTGCACTGGATCAGTGAGAACTGCGGATAACGTCATTGTTCAGGTCAGGTCTCTCCACCAAGTCAGTCGTGGAGTTCCAGAGTGGGAAGCAGTTCTATGAGGTGGTGGGCCTCAATCTGAAAACTCTACCATCAAGCAGGAGCATTGGAAGAGACTGCCAGCGAAGCACAGGGTCCTTGTGTGCCCAGGGACCGTGCCCTTGTGCAGCTCCTCTCTAGGTGGAGGCTGCATCTCCACTCTTCTAATGCAGAAGGCACTAGTTGGGTGTGATCCTGCTCAGGAGGTGCTTCTTGTCTGTCAAGGCTCAGTCAGAAGGTGACGTGGCCACCTTCTCTGCTGTTAGATGGGGGAAAGTGAGAAGCAGGGCCACCTAACCAGCCCCCCTACCCTGTACGGGGCTGGGCAACCAAAGTCCTGCCAGGGAGCAGCAAACGGACAGCTTCCTGACTCCCTGAGGATCCCCCCAGCTCGTGGCTTGCTCTGGCCCTGAAGGAGCCATCTGCCCACCTCACCACACCCCCTGAATTTTCTGATCCTTGGGTTCTTCATCTTTCACATCCTGGGCTGGCTGCACATTTTGACTCTGGGCAGTGACCTGGCCACCTCCCACCCCTTCCTCATGACCCCACTGGACCAGACTTTGGGGGCTCTCTCCTGTTCAGAGCCCTTAGTGTCTTGAGCCGGGGGTCAGATTTGGTTTTATGCAAAGAATCTGAGCCTTTGTCTTTGTGCACATTCACCCCTTGGTGGGCAGGGCTGCTCTCGAGGAAGCCCGTGTCAGAGCATGGAGCCACCCTTAGCATCAGGTGACACTGCTACACCACCCCTTCATGCAGCCGTCCACCTACACCCACTCCAGCCCCTGAGTTCGCCTGCTGCTCCCTAAGTGACAAGTCTGAAGGGACACCCCCACAAGGAGAGAATATTGTTTTCCAGGTTGGGGTTGGGGGTGGCTGCTGAGGAGCAGAGGAGATAGCAATGGACGTTGCATGTTTAGTGACACAGTCCAGACATAGGTGGGGATTTGTGGAGTGGCAGGTGTCACTCACTACAAGTCCCCAGGTGGGATGGCTCTCAGGGGTGTGTGTGCTTGGAAGCTTCCCCACCCCGCCACCCTACAAAGTCAAGAGCACACAGCCTGGGGGCCCTTCCAGGGGCCTAGGGTCCAGAGCGAGGAGGCTATGCATGCACATCCTGCTGAACAGTGCATCTGGCAGGATGACAGGGTGAGGCCAGCTCCAAACATCGCCCTTGGAGACACAACATGGTCTCCGCACTGACCTTAGGAAAAGGGGGAGGTGACAGCTACCTGGACATCAGATGGCCATGCTCACGGATGACAGCAGCCTGGTGAAGAGCAGGCTCCCTGGCCAGCAGGTATCAACTGGCCCACAGCCCTGCTGACGGTGAGGCTTTGTCTCTTGCTTGAAGGCCAGCACAAGGCAACATGCAGAGGTGGAGGGCACCTTCCCCTCCTGGCTTCCTGGGGGTCAGTGTGTGGCAGATGCTGGCTGTGGGAGTCACAGTGAGTGAGACACTTCTGGGCTTAGCAATGACACTGTGGCCACAGTGGGACCCTCATGCTAGGGCTGAGGCCTTTGGCAGCAGGGGTGTCCTGGGGAGCTGTTGCACACCTCAGGTTAGGATGTGGAGCTGGCGGCACCCCTGGGCCCACCATGCTGCCCACCCCAGCCAGCCTCAGGCCGACACACTGCTGGCCCTGTCCTGGGTAAGTGCTGGCTGCACTGAGGGGAGGGAAGGAAGGGACAAGCAGCAGGGTCCCCTCCCTCTGCTGCCCAGATCCACAGGACCACATAAATGGCCCACATATTGGCCCTGCCCATCACCCTTCTGTATGCTAAGCTCTCTGGAGTCTCACAGGAGCAGCCCTGAGAGTGGCCCCACTGCAGAGACAGAGCACCCAGTAGTCCTGCTTAGGAGGAAGGAGATGGAGACAGCATAGAGAGGGTCCTCAGGAGAGGTCTTCGCCCCACAAACAGGATGGTGGAAGAAACCAACTTCAGGATGGGTCCCAGGCCCCCATCCCACCCCATAGCACTCCATGTCCTTAGGTCTTCCCCAAACTTACACATCTTGGCTAAAGCAGGCCTCATGAGGGTCTGAGATGATGGAGGTAGAAACAGAGCTGGCATTGGAGCTGCCTGGTCCTAACCCAAGGAGCAAGTCTCTGCTTTCCCACCTCGAGAGTTCCTGCCATGCAGATGCACAGGCTGCAGGTGATCAACCTCCTCTGAGCCCCATACTGACTCCCAGGCCCATCTCAGGCCCTGCTGACTCTGGCTGCTTTGTGCTTTGTTGGTGGTGTTGGCAAAGGAAGCTGGGAATGTAAGTGTAAGTTCTTCAGTTAGTGGTTGGAAGCACAGTTTATGGCAGCTGTCATCCCTTTTGCTGGCATCCTTTGAGGCTTCCTTCACAGTGGCTGAGAGAGGAGCCTTTTAAGGACCCTCCAGCTCTCCAGCCAGTGCTCCTGAGGCCCCAACCTCACTTGGAGGCTAGGGCTGCCGGCCACTCCGCCTCCCTTGGACAGAGTGAGATGCTCCTCTGTGGCAGCAGTTCATGCAGAAAGCACACTGTGTATCCCAGGGCCGGTCAGGCACTCCTTTCTCGTCAGATGATGGTTTTATAAAAATGTCAGACTGAGCAGGTGGTTGGGAGGGTCCTGTATTTTTCTCAGCTTTCCTCCAGGTAGCATTTTAGAAATTCTCAAAGGGCTGGGGTCACAGAGATGGGGAAGTTCTCATGTCCATGGTACCACCCACCCTAAACCTCACAGCACAAAGAAATGGGATCAATCCCAGCCAGAGTGACGTCAAGTGCCCCCCACATCCCAGGAATAAGTTCTGGCCCCGGGGTTGTTAGGGATGCCTTGGGCCTCAGTTAAACCCACAATGGACCCTGGGCCACCATCATTTTTTCCAATTTCTATCAAAGCTGAGGATGTGGAAGCCTGCCATCCTTGGCACACTGTGCTCCTGTCATGGAGCTGCTGCATGTCTTGAAGGCCTGGCAGCCCACAGCCAGGGCCTCTAAAACTCCAGGATGCTCCTGGTGCTGTCTGAGGGTGGAAAGGCCCAGTCCGAGTGTGTGATGAGCTCCTGGCGCCAGTCCTGAAGCTCACAATTGAGCTTCAGGACTTTCATCTGGATTCACTGAGAACCTCAGTTCCAAGCCCCTCTCCCTTCCTGGATTTACCAAAAAGCCCAACACTCAGGTTGGTCTAAGCAACCCAGTAGCTGCCATAAGTTTTTGAAAGTAGGTAGGGGTACACATGCCCACATGTGCTTCTCCCCAGGAGCCCATGACTCCCTTCTGGGGGGCTCTCTGCTCCCCAGCCATATGCCCACCTGCTGTCCCTCTCCAGGGCCCTCTTCTTCTTGGGATCCTTGGGCGTGGCACTCTCACCTCACTGAACCTGGCTGTGCTCATCCCCGCATCTCTCAGAGCAGCCTTTTGTGGAAAGGGCCAAAATGGGCCTGCAGGAGGAGGAGGGAAGAGTGTCCTTTGCCTGTGGTCTTCTGGGGGCTGCCATAGTCTTTTCTCCTGAGACCTCATTCTGCTCCCAGGACCCACTAAACCCCAAAGATGGGAGAAGGGGGGAAGGGAGCCCTTGGTTGGCCATTTTCATGAGTTAAATCCCATACATCATACATGGTACCATTTTAAAAGACAACTGGTGAAAACAAGACACAGGCTCTGGGTGCACCTCCAGACCTACACGGATTGAGTGCCGCACCACCACCTGCAGTGGCTCATGTGTGCTGGCTCTGTGTGGGTCGTCTCCTTTCTGCTAAGTCAGCTGCTGTCTATCTCCATCATTCTCAGACAGTAGTCACTATAGCCTCCCATGTTCTCCTATCTCACTTTCACTCAGTCCCACAGGGAGCTCCCCCATCTATCCCAGAGGGTAGTTACAGGCCATTCCAAAGACTGGATCTTTTCTTGAAAGAAAACAGCTAATGTGGGAGACCTAAACAAGTTTCTGGAGTTGTTCTGGCCCCAAACCTTGCCACCTGAGGTCCCAGCCTGCTCTGGCATAGCTTTCCCAGCATTCTTGGACCTGGGTGACAGGACCATAGCTCAGGAGCCTCCACCTGCAGCCCAATGACCTGAGAAGCCTCCCTATTTCTCCAGCCTCCCACCAGCTTCCAACTCCTTCACTTAAGCAGCATCACTATACCTGTCATGAGAAAAAAAATCCATGTACATATCTCCATATATATATTTATATATACACACTTGTTCCCCTTATAAATACATAAAGCATGCATCTCTTTGACATTCCAAGTTTGTGGGTTTTTTAATTCTTGGAAAAAATGGGTTTGGAAATCTTTTCTTTCTTTCCCTCTTTTCTATGTAATAAACATTCACACGACCTTTCGGCTGGTTCTGAGATCTCTGTGTCCTCTCGTTTTTCATAACCAGACAGACCACTCCTTCCCCATCTGAAATCCTTGCCATTGGTCTCCTTTCCACTATAAGGCTGCCTCACCCTCTCTCAGAATCTTCCCAAGTCCTCCTTTCCCAGGGGACTCTACAAGTCATTCCACAAGCCCCCACATAGTGCTCATCTGATCCCTTTAGGACCGACTGTGTACATGTCAGGAGGGGAGCCCAGCTGGGGCCCAAACCCTTTCCTAGAGGATATTTAATTTGATGATATCTTCTCTCTAAATGAGAATCTGTAAAAATCCTTAGAACTTACAGCTAGCTGTACAACTCTAATGAGGGATCGCTGACCTTTGAGGGCTTGCGGGGCACTGTTCACAGCCCAGCCAACACCTCATTCATAATTGCTAAATATCTAGAGAACTTATTAAATTTATGGATGAGGAGAAATAAATATATTAGATGAATAAATCAAAATCCCCAAAGCTCATGACAAGCAAAGGCAATCTAACAAGGTGAAATCTAATTGCATTAAAGAGTTCTACTTGGAATGAGCCAGCCCCGTGACTTTCCTGGCACCTGGGAATTATGCGACAGGCAGCTCTGTGTTCTCCATCAACGTGATCAGGCTCATAAGGCAGACATGTGAGGAGCAGCGACTGCGGTGCAGGGACCTGGCTGCAGCATCACGTTTGGCGCCAGCACCATGGTGGCGAGTACCACCATCACACCTGCTCCTCACACCCCAGGAGCTGCAGAGGGCCTGTCATCCTGGTCCATGTGCCAGGGAGATGTCATAGCCTTTGTGCCCCTGCAGCCTGGGGGAATGACTAGTGTTAGAGGACAGCAGTGGTAAAATTCAAGTTTAACTGCAAAGATCCCTCAAAGCCCAGAAAAGCACCTAAGCCTCAGGCTGGCCTAGGAACTGTCAAGAGCAACACCCAGAGTCAAAGGAGCATAATGCCCTTGGCTCCCTCACGTGTCCACACATTCTTGGGAGCATTTCTTGATTGTAGACATCTGAAAAATACTGGATGTATCCAGATTCCCCAGGAAGACTTCCAGCTAGAGGATCCTTTGTTTGGAGTCCTTCAGCGTCAGAGGGGTTAGCTACAATGCATTATGGGACAGGAAGTTAGTACCACCTCTGACCTTCAGGGTAGAAGGAGAAAATCTTTGGATCACCCAGGTTCCCTCTACTTTCCTGGTCCCAACCCTCTTAGCTTTGGGAAGGGTGACATGTTTTGAGACAACACAAGCTTCTCCTGGAGGTAAATACAGGTCCCTCATCAAGGGTTCACCTCAAACCCAGAGACCAGGGCCTCTACAAAGGCCTCTGCTCCCCAGAGTCCTAGCACCTCAGATCCTTAGGGCCTGGTCGGTCACAGGAAAGGATGCAGAAGAATGCTGTGGGGGTAAAAGGCAGGTGGGGGTTGGGAAGGCCACGGTTGTCTCTGTGTTAGGGATGCCAATCCAGCCTTTAGCTTTTGGTCTTTGTGGAGGAGTGGAGGTAAGATCTGGAGTAGAGAGGGCCCAGGAAGTGAGGAGGCCATGGGGTTTGTGCTGGGCAACTGAGCCCAGGGGAGTAACACAGAATTCTGGGCTTCTAATGCCAATTCAGGCCCCGATGAAAGCTTCTAGGGAATGGTCATTTGATTCATGATTTATTTTATATACATTAGAAACAAGTTTATCACCTCAGGTTGAGGTGATAGTAATGACTATCAATTATCATGAGTGCTGCTTCATCTGCCCAAATCTACAGAGTGGCTGAGATTGCTGTCTCATTAATATCTCAAGACACAGACTGAGAGGGGCTAAATGAATTGTCTCAAGGCTCACAGCTGGCTAGTGGGAGAGTCACAGCTTTGATCTCACTCTGATTCCTGATGTCCAGTCTCTTACACAAGGAGGGGACTCCCAGTCAGGGTTTCTTCCTCCCTGCACTTCCTTAAGACACTAGCTGGGACCCCTGCTAAAGGTTCCTGAGATGGCCCTGCCCTGTGTGGCACCCACTACCCTAAACAGCTGCTATCTGCCAGCCTGCTATCAATGGCGGGAGAGAAAACCACCCTCATTCATTCCAGTGTGGACAGAGTGTTCCCCTGACCTGCACCAAGGACAAGAGTGAAGGGTGAGTGTGTATTCAGGTGGGGGGAAGTCAGGAGCTCTCATGAGCACTCCCCTACTGCTTGGTGGCCTTTAAGGTAGAGACAGGGAGCAGTGGTAGCAGCATGTCCACATGTGTAGTGGCCCATTCACTGCCACCAAGCCAAGTCCATGGGAGGGTTCAAGGAAGAGAGGGAAAAAGACCTTAGCTTGATTCAAACAGGTTCTTTTGTTTGTTTGTTTTCCAGACAGGTTCTTTTTTTTTTTTTTTTTTCCAGGCAGGTTCTTGACCTTAACTTCAGAAAAGAGTATGAAGACGAGCAAGTGAGAGGCATCGGTTGATCTATTAGGTTGAGATAGAAATTGGGCGAGGTTGGAAGGAGCTCTGACATTTCACTGACCCAGGGGTGGATGTCTGTCCTGGAACAGAAAATAGCCACAACGAAGATGGCCATCAGCCAGATCACAGTGACTCCCCCACCCAGGCAGCACCACTGGAAGATTTAGGTCCCCTCCTCACATCTAGATGTTGGGGTCCTAACCCCAGTACCTCCAAATGTGCCTATATCTGGAGACAGACCCTTTGAAGAGGCAATGAGATTGCTAGGGTGACCCTAATCCAATGCTGTGACCAGGACCCTTGTAAGAGATGAGGATGTGACACACAGAGAGTGCCATCTACACCCCAGGGAAGGTGGCCTCAGAAGGAACCGTACCTGCTCCCTCCTTGACCTTGGACTTGTACCTTCAGTCATGAGACAATACAGTCTTTGTTGCAGTAGCTTGAGCCAACTAACGCACTGACACAAACCAAGAGTTGCTGACATGGTCACTGGCTGGCAGGAAGGGGAGAAGGGAGGACTCCCAAAGAAAGGACATAATGGCATGTTGGGTAGCGCTCTTTTTTTTTTTTTTAATTTTTTTAAAATTTATTTGTGTGTGTGTGTGTGTGTGTGTGTGTGTGTGTGTGTGTGTGTGTGTCCAGCTCAGCCCATCAGGGGGCGGGCTGGCTGGCATGTGGTGCTGGGGGATTGAACTGCGGTCCCTGTGCTTTGCTAAGCTTGTTCTAAGTAGGTGCTTTAGACCACTGAGCCATCTCACCAGCCCGGGTAGTGCTCTTAAGGCCCAGGCAAACCATGGGCCTGGGTGTGTCCTGGGTACTTAGCCACTTTCTATGAAAGGGGAAAACTACAAGAGAAACTGTTATTTTTAAAACTTCATTCTTTTGAAACGGCCGCTCTGTAGCTGCTTCCTGGCTCTGTCATTTCTCTCTTGACCGCTGTGAACATGAGAACATAACCAAGCATGCAGAATGCCTGATTGTACCACTGTGCCAAGCTTCATGAGCTGATGGTCATTAATCCACCCTTGTAATCATGGTCTCACCCTGTAGCTAAGCAGAAGAGCTGCAGGCTGTTCTGTCTCACCTTTGTACCTCCTGCTTGTGCATCATATAAGAGCCCTAGCCCACCAGAGATCAGTGCCTGCCTGGCATTCTGGGAGTGATCCCAGCCAGGGCCCATCCATGTAAAGAAATCTGCCTCCCAGTGCTGGATGTTGGTTCAGTGCTGCTGCTTGCAGTTGCGCCCAGCGTCTGTGAGGCACAGCTGTGCCGCGAAGCCCAGGGCCCCCCTGTTCTGGGGACCACCTGGAGGCTGGAGGAGCCAGGGAAGCATCGTCCTCCACAGAATGTGGGTTGCCTTGAATGAGTGCCTACTCCACTCCTGGACCCTGTCCGTACAGGACCCCTGAGGGAGGCTGCAGTCTGGGCTAAGTTGTCAAGGGAGGCCTGTGTACTGTGCTCTGAGTGGGGCTCAGGTGCATCTCAGCACGTGTGTGTGTGTGTGTGTGTGTGTGTGTGTGGGTGGGTGAGCGTTCATTTTCATCAAAAAAATACTAAGCACCAAAATCTACAAAGAAACTTTTCAAAGTATCATTAGGGAAAGCTAGGCCAGAAGAGGAGCCCCAGCAGTCAGAGGACAGAGGATTTACTTCTGAGTAGGTTTCTGGGAATACTTAAAGCACATCCAAAATCTTTTGGAGAAGTTGAAGCTATGCTGCATGGACTTCAGTGCCAAGAAATCAGTGTTGGTGGTTTGACCCTGCTGTACCTGCCACCCTGGCTCCACCACTTGGGTGCTGGGATTACAGGCATGCACCACCGTGTCTGGATCCTGAACCCTTTGTAAGCCTGAAATACTTAGAGTTAATAGCTTGAAGACACTTATACTTCAATAGGCAGAAAAAGTGCAGAGGGAAGATGGAAGGAGAATCTTATTCCATCATCTAAGACCACTTTCAGCTCTGACAACTACAGAGTAATGGCATGAGTGCTACCAGTGCCTTCTCCCTCTCTCCCTTTCTATAAATAAGTTCAAGTTCTCTCACTAAGAACAATAAGAAAGTCCTAGCTAAGTAGGTACTCCCAAAAGTCACTGATTCACTGTCTACACTGTCCTCTCCCTATACAAGGACAATGGCCACCATGCGCTCAGCTCCTACAGCATTCCATACTCAGTCTGAATATGTCAGTTGGCTTTCCCTGACTGTAACAAGTGACTGAAATAAATCAACTTAACAAGAGGAAAGGCATGGATTTCAGAGGCTCCCACCCATAACTGGCTGCCTTTGGTCTTTGGACCTCTGATGAGGCAGAATGCCTTGGAGGAAGCACATGGGAGAGGAGGCTGTTAGCCTCCTGGCATGATTGAAAGGAAGAAGAGGGGCTGAGGTCCCCTCAGAGGCATATTCTGAGGACCAGTGCCCTGCCACTAGGCTCTCTGTCCTAAAGGCGCCACTGTCTGCCAATACTGCCAA